GATTACAATGTAGAGGTGATTGTCTGCTTTGCGTTCCTCTCTGCTTGGCCTGCATTATCAATTTATCAGTACTGGTTTTTGCTCTTCACACGTACACGTACACGTACCCCCCCCCCCCCCCCCGCACACAAACAAACACACACACACACGCACGCATGCTTATGTATACGGTTTCAGTTTGAAAAATGCAAAGTGTCCTGTACATGTGTGCGTCTGATGCATTCACACGAACTTCAACGGTCTATGATGCACGCGTCACTTCTCCTTTCGCGGCTGTACCATCGGTGAGTCTTGACACTTGCCAACTTCATTTATGGAATCTTCTGAGTCTGAAAAGTACAGGCAACAGATGTCCTGCCTTGCATGTTGAACGGCATCTCACATCCCATCAGTATCACTGTCAGCATGCAAGCATATCAATACAATCACATACATGTACATGTATACAAACTTTTAAAAGTGTGTGAATGTACAACGTACGTTTGTCTTGTTTATGCTGTGTGTCACTTTGCTCTGGGCATGGAAATTCTGTCGTATTTGCGAATTGTCGTTATATACGCAGTGGTTATTAGAGAAGTTGACTGTGTGTGAATGTAAAAAATACGTTTGTCTTGTTTATGCTGTATGTCACTTGCTCGGCCACCCGTGTTGCGTTCTATCTGTTTCGGCTATTGCTACTGCACTGTTCTAGCCAGAAATTATTGTTGATAGGGAAACCGAGTGCGAACCTGGCTAGGCTTTGTTGGTGAGGTACTCTCATGTGTGCGTATCCGTGCTCGTTTGTATTCCTCCGACGGTGTGGCACGTGCGCACACACATGTGATGTATGCGAAGTGTATCCGGCATGTACGAACAGTGTGTGTGCATCCGCGGCACGCATGTTTGACATGTTTGTGCTCCACGTGTGCATGTAGGATCTAAACGTGTGTAACGCAAGCGTGTGGGGCACGCCCATTACGTCTGCGGCACCGTGACATGGCCAGTATGTGATGTCCGACACGGGTGTGCAGGAGTGGCGCGTGGGCGTGTCCGCAGTGTACACGTCTATACTCCAGCGTATTGTCCACTTTCCTGGTCCCAGGAGGGTTTTGGATCTGTTGAAAACACGTGAACTGAATACAGTGGAGTTAGTTTGAACTCTTGTGTGCTTTCTGTGCACAGGTTTATCTACGGAATTGAGTATGGTCAAGAAATGCGTCTGAAAAACCTGGAGCACCATCGATTTTGCCATAACCATTACTCGAATGTCCGAGAGCAGGGTCGAGGGCAACCACATTGTCGAAAATTACACCTGTTCACGCCCTCCTTTCAGGTTACTGGCTCGTTTTCGCCGACTGCTCTGAATCGTACGAAAAATTCAAATGTTCTCCGCCGAATGGCACCATCACAAAGTCTTTCGGATCATTTTCGATATGCACCTCGCGAACATACCACCTTCCTGCACCCATACACCACAAACAATGCATTCTCCATTCGACGAGGTGGGTGTCATGAGTGTTCTTTCACGTCAGTCGCCGAAAGTCATTTCAGGGTGAGAATCGTTCTCAAGAAAAAGATCGCAAAAATCAGTGTAGAGCTGTGTTCACAACTGGCGCGTGTACGCGTGAAACCACGCGTTTGTGCGTATTTTTGCTGGCTTTTGGGGCGCCATGCGTACGGAAACGCGCCGAAATGGAAATTCCAACATGTTGGAATTTTCAGCACGTATCAGGCGCGTACCAGCGTACATACCAGTCACTTTCACTGGTGGGGTCAAAAAATTAGTACTCGAAGGTGTCGCACGCGCTTAAAGGGGAAGTATACGCTAAAATCAAATTTTCACCAGTTGTAGTCTTCTGGGTGCTGAGTCGAATGGTCTTGGTCCGAGGAAGCTGCGACGCTCCCTTCCTACTTGAATCCCAATCGAACTCGCGCACTTCCACCGAAACTGGGTGACTGCGCCCTACGAGATGGGGATTTGTATGCAAAATGTCACTAAAAGCGCCATTTCGTTCTTATAAAAGCACGGATGACCGCGATTGGCCCATATGTTGTAGTCTTTTGGACGCCGAGTCGACTGGTTTTGGTCCGAAAAGACTGCGATGCAGCGTTCCTCCTTTATTCCCAATCGAACATGGTTGAACAAGCGGTCACGTGCTCCTGGGTGCCCAAATCACCTGGTCACCGCGCCAGCAGGCGACAACTTTCACACCAAGGTTCAACTCGGGTTCAACTCGAGTGACAGGACTGTACCCAAAAAAGGTCAAACAGGCTAGTAAGTTGTACCCTGCAGGCACGGTGACCAGCTGACTGGTGTACGCAGGAGCACGTGACCGCTTGTTCAACCATGTTCGATTGGGAATAAAGGAGGAACGCTGCATCGCAGCCTTTTCGGACCAAAACCAGTCGACTCAGCGTCCAAAAGACTACAACATATGGGCCAATCGCGGTGATCCGTGCTTTTATAAGAACGAAATGGCGCTTTTAGTGACATTTTGCATACAAATCCCCATCTCGTAGGGCGCAGTCACCCAGTTTCGGTGGAAGTGCGCGAGTTCGATTGGGATTCAAGTAGGAAGGGAGCGTCGCAGCTTCCTCGGACCAAGACCATTCGACTCAGCACCCAGAAGACTACAACTGGTGAAAATTTGATTTTAGGGTATACTTCCCCTTTAATACGACTCGAGTTGCTGTTCTTTGTGAAAGCCTGAACGCGCGTTTAGGCACGCATGACCCGCAAGCGTACCGCGTCCACGCGCCAGTTGTGAACACAGCTTACAGTCCGTTTCAAAAAGATTTGCAATCCTGGCGATCGCCCGCAGAGTTTGGCGTCTTACCGTATGAGCACTCGAGCGCTGCCTGGAAAAACTCACTGTGAACTCGAAGAAATATTCCGCGCGAAAGCAGGAAAAATGACAACTCACTCACGTTGATGCAGTCATGTACGTCTGGTTTACAACAAACGAGTTCTTCCTCGTATCGATAATGGAGTCAGAGAGGACATGTACATGTCGAAACGAAAGTGTTGTAAATGTTGACGAGCGGCATGTGTCCCAATTCGTTTTGTGACCAAAATAGTTTCTTTGAGCTGCGATGCAATTTACTCACCGTGTGACGAAAACGACATCGACACGGACTCACTCCCAAGGCCATGACTTGGCAAAGCTATCCATGTGACTTCGACGACATTTTGAGAAAAGCGGACGCTTGTGAACGCTGATAGAAGACGGCGTTGACTGCTAAATTCAAATAAATTGGCGATCTTGAAACTAAAATAAATCTCAAAAAGCTACAGCGCGATGACTTCCATATTCACTCACACCATTGCAGTGTTGTGGGTGTGTTCACATGGCGTGAGCCAGTCAAGTGTCAGTCAGTTCGGCAGGATGCGCGAGCTTCAACAACAAGTCGTTTGGTGCAGCCATCTTCTTTGTCTTGCACCAGCTTGATCACCAAAACAATGAAAAAAAAGTTTGACTTGAGGATAGGTTGGGATTTGAACTCACAACTTCATGGTCAGCAGACAGCATTCATAACTACAAGGCCAAAAAGGAAAGGATAAATCGTGGGTTTTGATAAGTAAATCGATACTGGCTTCCTGGGCAAATGGTAAACCATGGGAAAAGGCCGGAAACCTGGCCGAAATTCTAACTCCTTAACGGCTGGTCCAATTGGTCCGAAACCTTCACAGAACAATTTGCCGTGTCCTAACAAGCCATTCTATGTACTTTGTTGTCCAAATTTCCCTTATCTTCATACTTTTTAAGACCCAAACCTGATTGTAAATCTTTTTGAAACAGACTATAGGGAGGTTCTGCTATACGTGAAACGTAGAGAAATCACGTAGAGAGCAGGTGTCTGGGTTAGAGTCTACGGCTTCGCGTGTTTTGGCTCCAGATTTCTACGCGGAGATGGGGTTCTCTACGTTGTGGCACACGCAGAGAAAATGCGTACGGATTTGCTGGGTATCGATCAGCTGCATGCAGAAAACTGCCAAATATGGAAGGGGAAATTCCCAGTACACATTCCACGTGACTTCTCTAGGTGAAACGTAGAGCAGAACAGCATTTCTTTACGTTACGGGAACGCGAAGAAAGTTCGCGTGATTCTTTGCGTCGCGTTCCCAAAACGTAGAGCAGAACCTCCCTTATAAGTCTCGATGGAACGCTTGAGGATGGACTGTACCACCTTCGAACCGGGCCGTTTTTGTCCGCGTTTTGGTACGCTTGCGCCCGCATACGGAACGCATAAGGTCCGTTCTTGTTCCTTGTGTTCATAATAGACGCCACAATCGGCGTCTTGAGCATGTCGAATGCCGCAGACTACAGATGAAAACTCTGTAGTTCTGTCGTATCCGGACGGCCCGGGGTTAGACCCCAAGGCTGCGGTCGTCGACATGAACTAACTTACTAATAAACCTTCCCATCACAAGGCCGTGCAGTGGTGGCCACTTGGAGAGAGTCCACCAACAGAATTACTCTTACGCACGCACGCACATATACCTAGACATACTCTCACACACACACTCAGGCATATACAGACACGTACACTGACACCAGCGTTCAGGTTGACTTACATCTTCAAAAGGAGCTAACTTGGTTCAAGAGACGATATGAGAGCACAAGGCAAGACAGACGAAAGCCGAAGCTTCCGCCTGAAGGCGGAAGGCAAGAGAGAGAGAGAAAAGCAAGGAGATGGCAATATGATCTAGTTGCGGCCATGGAAATCCATCGCCACGAGATTGCTGGTACCGCATGCAATAGCGTATCATCGTAATAAATATGCGTACGAACTGTTGCATAAAGAGCGGGAGCCATGTGGGGAAATATAAAATAAAGACGATTATGAACCCGTTTACGGGAGATAGATAAATAATAAAACAACTAAATAAGGCATACTTGTCCCGTAGAGGCCTAAAAGGCACGTGCCAATCGTATGGATACGACAGTTCCATGAATCTCTCCAAAAGATCCGAGCGTGCCAAGTTAGATATACTTGCAGTGGACACCCATTTCGCCTCCATTCCGCAGCACATGAGCTCCTGTTGGCTCCCTTTTTGTTCTACTGTCATCGCACACCATCATGCACTATACTCCATAGTGGCAGAAGGGCGCTTTTCCGGGATCAGGTCCTGAGATCGGAACACTACTATGGATAGCTGAGGCGCTCACTCGGCATTGCATTCATTTCCTGTGCAAGAAGAGGAAGAAGACAACGAAGAAGAAGAGCTCTCGCAAGAAGCTGTAAGCGCTTATGGCTGTTGTGATTCTCACTATAAACAATGTATACCAGAATGTTAAAGGGGAAGTTAAGGCAAAAATTAAAATTTCACCAGTTGTAGTCTTCGGGGTGCTGAGTCGAATGGTCGTGGTCCGAGGAAGCTGAGACGCTCCCTTCCTACTTGAATCCCAATCGAACTCGCGCACTTCCACCGAAACTGGGTGACTGCGCCCTACTAGATGGGGATTTGTATGCAAAATGTCACTAAAAGCGCCATTTCGTTCTTATAAAAGCACGGATGACCGCGATTGGCCCATATGTTGTAGTCTTTTGGACGCTGAGTCGACTGGTTTTGGTCCGAAAAGGCTGCGATGCGGCGTTCCTCCTTTATTCCCAATCGAACATGGTTGAAGAAGCGGTCACGTGCTCCTGCGTACACCAGTCACCTGGTCACCGTGCCTGCAGGGTACAACTTACTAGCCTGTTTGACCTTTTTTGGGTGCAGACCTGTCACTCGAGTTGAACTCGAGTTGAACCTTGGTGTGAAAGTTGTCACCTGCTGGCGTGGTGACCAGGTGATTTGGGCACCCAGGACCACGTGACCACTTCTTCAACCATGTTCGATTGGGAATAAAGGAGGAACGCTGCATCGCAGCCTTTTCGGACCAAAACCAGTCGACTCAGCGTCCAAAAGACTACAACATATGGGCCAATCGCGGTCATCCGTGCTTTTATAAGAACGAAATGGCGCTTTTAGTGACATTTTGCATACAAATCCCCATCTAGTAGGGCGCAGTCACCCAGTTTCGGTGGAAGTGCGCGAGTTCGATTGGGATTCAAGTAGGAAGGGAGCGTCTCAGCTTCCTCGGACCAAGACCATTCGACTCAGCACCCCGAAGACTACAACTGGTGAAATTTTAATTTTTGCCTTAACTTCCCCTTTAACTACACTGTTTACTGACACCCCTGACTCCACTAGTTAATGTAGCGTCCATTTGGTGTTTGTCTTTGCACAGTGTGTGTTTTAGTTCCTCTTGTCTCACTTCTCACCTTCTCTTTCCCTGACTTTTATCTGCTCTTGTGTATAATTCTTCGCTAAATGATCGCCCAGTTGTACTGGTTACCAGCCTTATGCTACATGTACTTATCCTTCTGTTTCATTGCTTCTGGTTGCCTGTACTACATGTACATGTAACTCAATTGAAGTGAATGCGAAGTGAATGCCCGATTACTGGTCATGAATTTCGGAGTCCTTATTGATGAAGGTGATGGGTAGCTTGAGATTTGTAGTTTTTCTGTCCCCGATAACCTTCCGGTCTCCGTGAAAGCTGTAGAAGAAGACGTATTGTTTGTGTTCCTGTTACAACCTGCTGCAGCAACCACAGCTGGTGACGAGGAAACGTCCGTGGATCAGAATCTAAGCCTAAGGCATCACAATTAGCCACCAAAAATGGCCAAGGTATGTAACCGATACAGGCAGCAGTGCTGCAGGTTATTGTCATGTTCAGCAGGGGTATGTACATCTAGCAGTGTTCCAGGTTACTAATATTGTAATGTTCAACAGGCGACTTGCCACAGAGTGAAATGATGTACAGTGTACAGAGTGCATTCAGACTACCGAAAACCCCACTGATCAAACCGTGAATGGCGAATGACGCTGATAATGCAAACGTTCCATTAGTGCGACCTAGAGCCAAACCTAAGGGGTGGCCAGTCATGAAATCAAGTCAAAATTATTATTTTGTTTACAATGAACTCTGAAAATGAGTAGTCAACAGCGATATTATCTGCAAACTCTTGATTTTTTTACTAATTTTTTTACCATTATTTTAATACCGTAAGATCCCGCCAGAGCGCCCCGTCTCTCCCATCCGCCACTCCCTGACTTCTTGCCAGAGACGTGATTGATTGTATCCTCATATGACTCTGTCAAAGTCTGTGATGCCGTACTGTACCGCAGACGCGTGCTCGACCCGATTGGAAATGAACGCAACAGTGCCCACCCTCTTGACCAGGGATAGCACAAACCCTGAGTTTTGACGGGTCTGTACGACTCCTGGCACTTGACCTTTGGTCGTTGTACGAGATGCACAAACATTTTCGTAGGGTGGGTACTTTTTCATGTCGTACTGAATGCGGCAAGTAGGACTTGCCCATCCGCCAATCCCCACCTGAACCGACTCGAAGCGTCGAGGAGGTAGGGGCGCTCTGGCGGGATTTTGCTATTATTCACAAACCCAACTCGTAAAATAAAAAGGACAAAAACAAACAGGTACTGAGTAGGGGTTGCACTGGGCAGCAGTGATGGTGAGGTGCCAGGGGCTCCACCGAGCAAAGGTCTCGGCTTCAATGCCACCAGCACACGCCAGGAAACAATTGCAAGCTCTCTGTGAAAGTACCGGCGCTATATGACTGATGTACAGCACAGCACACTATAGCACAACACTATAGAGCAAGTACAGGTCTACTCTCCACACAACGTATTCTCTAGGACCACGCAAAATTATGTTATATCGAGAGTTATGTTATGTAGAAAACCACGTGTAAAATACAAGATGTACCTCAAAATGAAGGGTATTACAAGGCGGGTTTAACCGTGCAAACATATACACACTGTACCACCATCGGCATCAGATGCAATCAACGCCGCAGAATATAATTATGCACAATAGGACTAAACTTGTTAGCTACAGCTACAGCCTGATCGTACCGCGCATCTGAATCTACGTTGTATCGAGAGTGCGCACGTCGGGGACCGCACCGTAGCATGCGTTATGTCAATGTTTACTTTATGTAGGACCAAACTGGCCTAAACTGGCTAACTACAGCTGTCGCTTGATTGTACCGCGCACGTGAATCTACGTTGTATCGAGAGTGCGCAAGCTGGGGACAACGCTGTAGCGTGCGTTATGTCGAGGTTTACGTATGTAGGATTACGTTGTGTAGAACAAAATTTGTATAGGAGTGATGCTGTTTGGGTGCGGGATTTGATTTGGTTTACGTACTAGTGAGGTTTACGTACAAGTGAGAGTTGTTATATCCAGAGCAGACTAGTTGTTAGTTTGTCCTAGTCTCCGTACCATTGTCTTCCCTTATTCTTTTCGAGCTGGTGAGGTGAACATAGTAAAAAAAGAAGAAAAAAAGACCTGTAGTATGTAGCCTCTGTAAGACTAATAGACTATTTAACCTTAGTTCTTTCACTCTTCACTCCTAGTTCCGTAAACCGGAACAGAAAGTCGATTCTGGATGGTGCACATACATGTCGAACGAGTTGCATGTTGCATGGTGATGCCTGCGGCCTTCATTCTATTCACAGTGACTTCTAATGTATTTTTATGAGCGTTTCCCAAGCTTTCTTATCAGCCTTCTCATCTTTTTTCATTCGATTCCCTGCATCAAATTGTTTTCTTTCTTTTCGCGTTGTGTTGAAATCCTTCATGATGGTATACTGAACTGTATTGTGCTTGCCCATGTAAGAGGCCACCCAATACGACAGATACCTGCCATCACAGTCACTACAAGCAGGTGACTAATAATAATAATAATAATAATAATAATAATAATAATAAATACAGTTCGCATGTCTCCCAAATAATGGGTTCCACGCATCTGTCAACTGTTTCATCATGAAATAGATTGTAGCAGGAAGAATAGCAGGTGAACAATAGAGAAATAATGAGAAGTAGTACTGGACATGATGTTTGGCATGTACATGACCTTTGACCTTTGACCTTTGACCGATCTCAAAGTCCTTTCTTCCTCTTCCCTCCCCTATTTCTTGTCCCTTTGGTTTTTGGCTTTATACATTTTTTTCACTTTCTTTTTGCTGTCCCACCCATGGAATTATCTTCCCGATGGGACTGGTGTATTGCCTCCGAAAGAAATGAGTAAAGGAGAGGTGATGGTAATGCACATGAGCGTGTTGTGCTTGTCTCTCCTGCTTTGGATATTGAAAATGCATATGTTTGGCTGTGGCATTGTCTGGCCTGGCGTGTGTCCTATTTCCAGGTGTTGATCAGTGTTCTGCTCATGGGGAGCGCATTGGTGCTCTTCACTGATGCCTCTGACCATCAGTGGAATTCTCCAAAGCAAGGTGAGTGTGTTGTAATGCAGTTGAGCGTAGGGGCACATTGCAGGTAACTAGACCGTCGGGCAAAGACTACTTACTGCTTTTGGGTTTTGTTTGCACTAATGGTGAAATAAATAAACTTCCTCCGCTTCATCGAAATTGTTGCAGTTTGACTAGTGACTTGTCACTTGTTACTGACCACTCCATAAGCTAATCATACAAAAATTATTACACAGGATGATAGTCTGAAGTCTAGAGTAATGTTCCAGGACAGTTGGACTGAGAGTTTCACATGGAGCTGAAGGCGTCGTCGTCGCTGATGTCAATGGACGAAAAAAATATCGTTCCGCAAATTTTCCAGGAAGGTTGTACGTTGGTCGCGCCCTATCTCAAACGCTTTGACACTCTCCACAGGACAAGAGCTGCTATGCTTGTCGTCTGCTGTAGAAAACATGAGGGATGTAGGGACACTATGCTGTAGAAAACATAAGGGATGTAGGGAGGCCGCTATGCTGTAGAGAATACTAGTCATAGAATCCCTGTCCCGCCATTGCCAGCTAATGAGCGCACTGTTATTTACTTTGCTTGAATCCTTTATTCTCATGATGGCACCATCACCAATAAGAGATAGGAGAAGGTGAGATGATGTGGGTGGGGTTGTGGGCTATGCAGTTGGAAATACATGATGCAATTGCTCAAATGTGGAAGTACTGTAACGTAATTTATCCCTCTGCCTTTGCCAGTTCGTTTTGCTCTAATGATCGACTCCCTTCCACCATTACAGATGTATTTGATTCATTTGATCACAGTGCACATGTCTACGGAAATACGGGGGCACAAAACACAGGTCCAGCAATGGGTGTGTAGACACTACACTGCGCTGTGCTGGTGAGATGTGGTGAACTCCCTCGACCGACGGTCTCGGGATCGGGGTACACTACAGGAAACCAGGGGGGGGGGGGAGGGGGAGGAGGGGACGAGGGGAAGGAAGGGAGAGAGAGACAGAGAAAGTGTCCCATATATACTGATGTATGATCTAATACCCCTCCCCCTACTCATCCCACCCCTACTCACCCCCCCCCCCCCCCTACTCACCCCCCCCCCCCTACTCACCCCCTACTCACCCCTATTCACCCCCTATTCACACACACACCCCTATTCACTCCCCAATACTCCCCCCTATTCACCCCCTACTCACCCCCTATTCACACACACACCCCTATTCACTCCCCAATACTCCCCCCTATTCACCCCCTACTCACCCCCTACTCAACCCCCCCCCCCTACTCCCGCCCCCACCGCTTTAGGAGCTGCATCTGCGCCTTGATCCTTGAAGGGTGGTTGCGTTCCTATGGGTGCGGAAAACTCGGCCTCTAGCCGAGTCTGACGCGAACCGTGTTTAAATTAAAAAATATATATAAGCAAGGCCGGTCTAGGAAGAAAAAGTGTAATTTAATCATTCAATGTAGGTATGTGAGCACTTCAGTGCCTGGATGTCAGCACCCCCCCCCCCCCCACGCTGATATGGACGGATGTAAGCTAAAACATGTCATTGGGGTTTCGTAAAATTTTAGAACATGGCCGATTGAAGAATTGTTTTCTGTTGAGCACATTAGAGCACATTGAAGAATTGTTTTCTGTTGAGCACATTAGCGCTGTACAGTCAACTTCGCTAATAACGACTGCGGATATAACGACAATTCGCGAATAACGACATAATTTTCATGCCCAGAGCAAAGTCCCATCCAACTGTGACACATAATATTGAGACTTCGGGTATAACGGCACTTCGCAAATAAGGACACTTTTCTGATGCCCCGCAGAGTGTCGTTATAAGCGAAGTTGGCTGTAGTTCATTCATCAGCCGGTGGAGATAGAGTCTGGTCAAACTATCGCCTGTAAATGAAAACGAGGAAAAGCAATGTAGTACAACAAGCAACCAGCAACTAGATCAGAGAGCATTGCTCAAGCTCACCACCAGCCACACTCCATTCATAAACAGATGGGCCCTGGCTCTAGCTCTGGCGAGCTCCCGTATTTGGCGATTTTTCATGATTGTATCGTACACAGCGCAGTGGTGCGAGATATGAAATTTGAAAAAGGGTCCAAAAAGGGTACCTGAACTGGGGATCGAACCGCACAATGCACCATTGCAGGCAGGGTCAAACGGCCGGGACTTAGATGGTTTTTTCCCAATTCAGTGCTTTCGGGGCAAAACCTGGCCGGTATCCTATCCTGTTATGGCTTGCTTTTTCAGGTTTAATACTGCCAATATACAAAATTTCGGCGCTGCCAAATTTCGGCACTTCACGATTTTGGACATTTCGGCCTCGATTTATTTTCGGCGTGGGGTATGTAGCGGGCCGCAGTCTCTCAGAGGCAAAAATACAAGGGTCTCAGTGAACACACTGTAACTGGCAATTGAAATGTACTGGCAACGAAATTAACTAACTGGCAACTAAATTAAGTAACGGGCTATAAATTAACTAACTGGCTACTAAATTAACTGACTGGCAATTAAAAGAATCGTGAGCAGCAGCTTTTATGCAAAGGCAGACTCCGTACGCTAATGTACGGGATACGCTAACGTATGGGAATACAGTACGGGGATATGCTAACGTACGGGAATACAGTAACTTATGGGGATATGCTAACATACGGGGATACGCTATACGCTACACCTCCCCCCTCAAATACAATCACGTCCTCGTGATTCGAATACTCGGTGATAGCTGGACACCAACAACTGGCTGTTATTTAGAAGAAACTGGCGGCATGCATGGTCGCGTCGGAATAAACTCGACGATAAGAGATAGGCAGAATGGATGGATGACTTGAATTATAATACAGGTATGGAGTCGTGAACATTATAGTAGATCGCAAATTACTGGGAGAGCGTCTACCGGAGTATGGCAAATGATGTCGGAAATGATAACGTTTGGAATAGACAGAAGAATGAACTGATAAACAAATCATAAAGTAGAAGCACACCAGGTTCACACGATCGCACGGGGTCAAAAGGGGAAAGAACTGTCCTCCAAATAGGACCTGAAAAACCACAGCACTCTTGCTGCACAACGCTGGCACAACCCGCCAGGAACATCGCAGTTCAAAAACCGAACTGAATACACTATACTATATAATTATCACTATTCACTATACGGGGCATTGTCACACACATTGTCCCAGGTTAGCTCACACACATTGCCCCAGGTTAGCTGGGTAGACCGTGGCTCACCATGATCGGACGCCTACCAAACTAAACTGGATTCACACACTCGCATAAAGGAAGACTGAAGAGAATAGGAAGACTGAAGAGAATAGGAAGACTGAAGGAAGACAGGAAAGAAAATGCCATACCTGGAATCAGCGTCAGTAACCACGGCGGTGACTGGAGCTATGGCGGAGGGCGAGCCAGGTTTTATCTTCATCTTGATTGAGCCGGTCACTCAGAGAGGCTAGCTCGGCGTCAGGCAGATCGCTCCCTCCTCGTCTTGAATCGTGGTCTTCATATTGTCGATAGCATCGCTTGGCGCGACGTAAAGAGGGATGGTCTAGCCAGGAAGAGTGTTGACGAAAATCTGCATCCCACCACGGAGACGAAGTACCAAGTGAATAGTGGACTCCTGCTGAACGTTGTAGTCACTCAGGGTTCAGCCGTCTGCCAACTGCGTGCCGGCGAAAATCAAACGCTGCTGGTCTTGGGGAATACCCTCCTTGTCTTGGTCAGCAGCCTGCATGTCGTCGTCCTCATCAACTTCGCTATCGCCACCGGTAGTATACATGTAGGTAGCGGGTCGCTTGGAATCGCCATCGGAGTCTCCAGCGAGTGCCGTGCGGAGAGAAGGGTGATCCACGCTAGCACCCTGAGTGTGCTGCAGGCTAATAAGCAGGGCCAAGCCCAGGAAGGCAAGAAACATGATTCTCATCTTGATTCGTCGCACGGAGCTGTAGCGGGTTGAGCCATGGGGGTCCGAGAAACGTGTAAAGTAACACAGTTAGGTATAGAATAAAACAAAATGAATTTACCGCTGCCACCAATTTGTAGCGCGTAAAACAGGTGGGGTCGAATCTGACAAAGTTGACTTTAACCACCGCTGCCACCAATTTGTAGCGCGTAAAACAGGTGGGGTCGAATCTGACAAAGTTGACTTTAACCACCGCTGCCACCAATTTGTAGCGGGCCGCAGTCTCTCGGAGGCAAAAATACAAGGGTCTCAGTGAACACACTGTAACTGGCAATTGAAATGTACTGGCAACGAAATTAACTAACTGGCAACTAAATTAAGTAACGGGCTATAAATTAACTAACTGGCTACTAAATTAACTGACTGGCAATTAAAAGAATCGTGAGCAGCAGCTTTTATGCAAAGGCAGACTCCGTACGCTAATGTACGAGGATACGCTAACGTATGGGAATACAGTACGGGGATATGCTAACGTACGGGAATACAGTAACTTACGGGGATATGCTAACGTACGGGGATGCGCTATACGCTACAGGGTAGAGGGCATGGTATAGTGCGACAGATGCTGTGAAAAAATTCATCTTCGTTTTTTAAATTTAGGCGTTTTGGGTCGGTGCCGAATATAGCCGAAATTAAATAGCTGCCGAAAATTTGTATATTTACAGTATGCGATAACGCCAAATCCACCATATATACATGTAGGAGCCAGTTGAGGTGGCAAAATGCCCATACAAGAGTAAAGCGCGTACAGAAACCCCATATATAGAAGAATTTGGGGTGGCAAACGACAAACGTGCTATGTGACGTGTATGGCATAACCTCTATCGACTTCAGAAACATAATGATTATTGGAAGAGGATTCCAAAGGGGATTGCAGAAAAAAATCCAAAGAACCTCAACGTTTGACCCATTTATGGCCAAAACTGCTAGAATTCTATCTTCTTCTGAATGGACTGTAGATGAGAAAGCATTGGTCAAGCTCACTTTCATGCCTTGGACTATTCCAGTACTCCTTGTCAGGTTTTTGCTACTTGAAAATTGCGCATGTTCGACTGTTTCAGAACTGGCCTATCTTGTTGACTCCAGCATTTCACTTGTGCGCCACTGCGCTCCTCGTGCTCAGCTTTATCAAAGTTCTTTTTTCAAGCACTCACAAGAAGGAGGGAGTCTTTTTTTCTTCTTCTACAAAATCCACAGTTGAAAAGGGGAAAGTCTAAAAAAAGTCATGCATTCATCTCATTCTTCCTTCTTGTTTTGCTGGGCTATATTAACAAGAGTGAGTACAACACTGCTACTCTCCAAAGCTCTAAATAAATGTAAATTTCAAATTTGGACTTCGTGGAGAATTTTTTCTTTCTTTCGTATCTGGCTCGCAAGTGTTGAGTTTCGGAGAGAAAAGAGCAGTACGAGGCAAGTGGCCTCTAACTTCCTTGTACTGAAAAACATGTAATTTTAGGTGCGTTCAAATTTCGGTGCCAGGGACCTGCCAGGTTTCAGGCGTAATGTAGAATTAGGCGACCGGCATTCCGTACACATCCAGTGCATACTCTAGTTATTCCTTGCCTGTGGAGTGGCGCACCCAGTACCGCACTTGCCTGTGGAGTGGCGCACCCAGCACCGCGCTTCTATGTTTGGTAAGCATAGGGGCATCGTTCCCCTCGACCCTGAGATCGTTTTCGTTTCGCCGTGGCTTGAAATCTTGTCTCCTCCATGTGCCCTCGCCATGGCTCCGCTTTGCTCCATCTGCTCAACCCTGTCCTCGGAGCTCCTGCTCAGGTGAACATGCTTTGTCTGCCATGCGTCATGTTTTCTAACTTGTTCGTAGTTTGATTTGTGATTTTCGAATAATTGTTTCGTGTTGGGTCTTCGGCGTAAGCCGTGGCACTGAAGTCCCGTGTTATTCTCTTCTGGACAAGTGCTCTCACACGCGCCTAACCTTGCTTCTGTTTGTACATGATTGTGGCCCACATTGTGTGTGTCACTGTTCGAGTGCTTGTGTGTGCTGTGTTTGGAACCAGTGTAATTTTTCTCCCTCCGGCTCTGGCTGTTCGAGTGGTCGCGTGCACTGTGTTTTCACACCTTCTGTTGTCCGTTCTGTTGTGCCTGCTCATCGTGTTGCTTGGTCGTCAGCATGGGTAGCTTTGCTCTTGTTTGCTTACTCGCCCTGTGTTGTACGCTGGTGCACATTAATGCGTTGTCGTCGGACTGCTCCGATCCTGCGTCGATCGATTTGTTTGGTAGATGTCCCCATCGATTTTCTCGATGTGGTGACACTACGTCGTTTCCAGTTTCAGGAACTTGTACTTACTTCAGAGTACATTTTTTTCATCTTAGGCCACACCAAGTTTTTTCATTGTTTCTCGTCACCGCGCGCGTACCTTTCTTGAGGTTTGGACCAAAAAAAATCTCGCGTCCCGGTAAACACGCATAAAAAGGCGTTGTAAAAGTACGCGCGGCGTCAAATCTGGAGTGCAGTGCTAGTGCACGAACCGAAGGACGACTTTTGCACCGTGTATGTACGCATACCGGTAGTTCAAGTACCACACCACCACACGACCTGGTCGTCTTCTTTGCTACACACAGTTCCGGTACAAGTCAAGACAGTGCATGACAGTGCACCGTTTTGGACTGACAGTGTTCCGGGCATCGGTAAACTTGCGGCATTGCGGACTACAAGCACTGTGAAGTTGCCGTGATTCCTTGAGTTCTTTATCAGTTCATCTTGTCGTGGGCGACGATGGCATCTGAAATAGTCAGCTTCGCTGTGACTGTGGATAGCAGAGAGATACTTTCTTGGAACGCAATTGACTGTCACGCGTGGTGTATAGTCTGATTTTAGGTCATAAATTGGGCCTTTGTAGTGTAAATAGCAGTTTTTGTTTTTCAAACCCTATTTTGTTTTTTTCCGCCCGCCCGCGTTCCTTTTGAGATTTTCAGGTGACGAGAAACAATGAAATAACTTGGTGTGGCCTTACTTGTAATAATAGTATTCATGTTGAGTCGAGCATTGCAGTGCGCCGCCGGGGGGGGGGGTGCCCCACCGATCATGTGGAATGGCTGTCGCCCAGCGGTGTAGCATGCTTCTGAGACTCTCGTTGACGGTCCGGGCGGCAATCTTTCTGTGAGCGTGTTGTTTTGTCTTTGTGCTTCGGCACGTGGGTCTCTCCATTTCACCTAGGCGGGCGTCCGATCATGGTGAGGCACGGTCTGCCTGGTGGGCTGGAGGGATCCAGTGCTTATTTGTATCGGTTCGCCTTGCGGGTGTACGCGTCAGGCGAAATAGCACATCATAGTACATTTGAGATCAGCGGGAAGAAGATGACGACGTTCACTAGTTTAGTATCTGTGCACACGAATCTGCTGTGTGTGTGACTCTGTGTGTCAGCTATGACATCAACCCCTGTGGTTCCATGCCTAGCATGTACGTCTGAACCATCCTGCAAAGTTTGAATGACGTAGGTTGAGCGATCTCTCCGCGAAACATACTTTTTGAGATTCTCTTCATAGTATATCTTCCACCATTGAAATTTCGAATTTCTTGCTGAGAGTGGTGGCTTGCAACCTCAATATGGCTTGTTCCAGGCATGCTTTGGAGCCATCCCCTGTTGAAGTAGTGGCGGGATCTGCCCTGCAACTGCTACAACAAAAAATGATTCGATCTGAGAATCTCGGTTGAATATTGAGTAATTCAAGCCTTTTCACGACGAAGATGGAGTTCTTTTTGGAGATGGACGTCGCGGCAAAGGACATGGTGTCCGACTTCTGGCGTCTGGTGAAGCCAGGGATCATTTGTCCAGTCAGGTCGGCAGCCTAACCATCGGCAAGCTTGTGTTTGGATCCCGTTCTGCTCGATGTGGTAGCTCACAAACAATTTGATATCGCACAAATTGATCTCAGCATCGTGCGTATGGTATTTTATATTCAGAAAATCCCAAAGTGTCTCTGTGTAGCCGTCCTATGCCACGAGAAACTCCAATCAGGCTCCTATATCCTCTGCTTTCATGATTGAATGTCCACTTCGTTTGAACAACAAACACAACAATCGAGGACGGCTTTGCAATGAAAAATACAGCTATACTGTAGCTGAAAAAAGAAGAAAAAACGTGCTCAGGATGAGACTCGAGTACACGCATACTCTCCCAGCAGGTGAAACGCAATGTTTTTGTGAAAAATGCGTGTCGCCGACTGACCAGTAATTTCGCCTGACAGTTTCCATATTTTGCTGGCTGGCCTTTGTGCGTCCCAGTAGGGACCAGGAGTTTTTTTGTTGTTGTTGTTTTGTTAGCGGATTTGTTTCCCGTGTAATATCCAGTTCAATCCCTGTGGGGTTTCAGGTTCAATCCCTGTGTTTTTTCAGGTTAGAGGCCTGTGGTTATTCAGGGTAGCGCCCTGTGGTTTTCTACGTTATTTTTTGTTTGCGTATTGGTGACCGATTTGTTTGTGTGCTATTACGGTGTCCTCATTAATTCATTGCCCCTGTTTCCGTAGGCGTGTTCAACATTGCTGTTCTGCCATTTTTTCTGCCATTTTTTCTCCTCTCCCATCCTCAGGAGAGGATGCATATTTTTTGTGTGACCGTATGTTGTCCGTGCCTGCGTGGACTACGCACGTTGCATATGCTGCATTTGTACACATTCTTGTTGTTCGACTCTTGCGTTCTTCTTGAGACTCTCTTCTGAGTGAGACCAAAATCCTATGCGGTGCACGCGATATGAGAGAGTAATCGGAAGGGCCTGTCGTCTGGAAATAACCCCCCCCCCCCCCCGACGACAATACCCTACATGTCCCCAAACAAAATGCAATCATGAGCCATCAGTTGTTTCTCTCTTCTGTGTTCTGTGTGTTATTCTCTGTGTTCTGTGTGTTATTCTCTGTGTTCTGTGTGTTATTCTTGCTGTCAGGATATTATAGGCATGAATCTGTCCATGCGAACACTGAGGACCTTCGTTGCCCAGTGGGCATGTACCTATCAGTTCCCCCTGTGTCCTACCTTCCAGAAGGACCAGGTAGCCAGAAAACTCTTTCCGAAGCAAAGGGCATTTGCCAAGCGCTACACATGACTTTACCACCAAGGAGTGCTGCTCACTGCTTGTGGGACTTTGCCTTCCACAGCACTGTTGGACATATTTATATTGGCTATGAAGGTGTGTGGACAGACCACTGGAAAAGCACGTCTCATGATGCTAATTACAAAGTAAAGTTAAGGGGTGGTGGTGATGTGGATCGTGAACGTGGAAGTGTAATCTGCTATGGTGAGTAATGGCTGTTGTTGTTGCCGAGTGATTGGTTGGTTGGCTTGTTGGTTGGCTGGTTTGGGGGGGGGGGGGGTGGGGGAGAGAGGGGGGAGGTTGGTTGATTGGTTGGTTAGTTGGTTGGGTGGCACTGGGTGGTTGGTTGGTTGGTTGGTTGGGTGGCACTGGGTGGTTGGTTGATTGGTTGGTTGGTTGGGTGGCACTGGGTGGTTGGTTGGTTGGTTGGGTGGCACTGGGTGGTTGGTTGGTTCATTGGTTGGTATGGGGGCCAGGTGCCCAAAATGTTTACTTTCGTTGCAGTTGAGAGGGCACAACGTTTTGGTAATTTCAACGTGTAGACGGGATCACAAGGAGCTCCAAGATATATTTTTTTACCCCAGAAACGTGATGGAAGGTACTAGAATTAACCGTTGACGTTTCGTGCATGGTAACCATGGCACTACATAGCAACAGCATAGAAGAACCTTGATTACCGGTCACAGTGCTCGATACACAGCTCCCATGCCACCCGCATAACACTATACTGATCGCTCACACTGCCTTCGCGCACAAACACTAGCATTGCATACCTGCCATGGGACAACACCTATAGTGAATAAGACCACACAACCCCGACTATAGCCCCAGTCTCCTGATGATTGCTTTTCAGCATGAAACTCGTGAGTAGAGACATTTAATCACTTTTTTGTTAAACCGGATTTTCGTGTGTAGCAACAGCATATCAACTATTGTTTTAATATAGCTATGAATACGACGAGGAGGAGTCGGGTGGGAAGGAGCGAGATGAGGCGGATGAATGTGTTGATCGTAAGAAGTCAGCTGTGTATCTACACTTGTTATCTCGTCCTGACTGTCTTAGTGTGTATGATGACTCTCATTTTTCTGTACTGTGTCGTGCGCGTTATGTCCAACAGTTGAAAGTCCTTGAGGCAGTTTGTATACGTATTCATAAGCCTGTTTTGTGTAAGCAGAAGGAGCACGTTGTTGCATTGAAGTTGTATTCGTAGGTTGACACTTCGTTTAGCGCCTTCTCGCCTTTGGTTACGTAATCTTGTTACCTTTTTGCGTTTCCTCTAGTGGTTTTATTGCACTTGTATCTTGTTGTTATTTCTAACACCTTTCTGACTGTATATAGTATCCAGTTACAGTGATGGAGAGTTACTCTTAACTTGTATCCATATGTCCTTTTCTTTTCTACCTTTCTATTTACAGTACTTAACTTCAGTTTCTTTGGTTGTATCCTTAGTTCCGTATTTTTTCCCACTGATGATAGGAACAAGAAAATCGATTATGGGTTTTCAATATAATTTTTGTTATAAAATACATAGTAAATACATGTCAAACAAGTAACGTAGTTGCGTGATGTCTGCGGCCTTCATCCTATTCATAGCTATATTAAAATTATTATCTCCACGTAGATTATTTCAACTATTGTTTATTCTTGTTTTTAGCTTTCAGTGACATTCTAGAATTGGTATTGATTTATTTGAATTCGGTATCTCAACAGTACAATGTACAATTTGGGAAGAATGAATGGAAGACTCAAAGCAGGTTGCAAAATCTGGAACGAGAGAGCTTGGAAGCTCAGGGCCCTACGCTATGCTTTTTTGCCTTGATGACCTAGACAAAAAAAGCATAGGGATGTTATAAATTCTTATAAATTTCTACTTTTTGTTTTTAGACATAACCTCGGATTCGAACCCGCACTATCGCCCTGCATGCATCCCCGGACCCCCGATACACTTCGCATACATACTAATTCTTCCAAGTTGCTTCCCGTTATGATCTTGTATTTGAAAGCCCTATTTGAATACTAGTATGCATTGTGGCCAGTCGTCTTTGATTGTACGGTACGGGACATGTACGGGACAGGTACGGTCGAGAGTAATACGACACCATCTACCGCCTGGATGACGGCAAAAAAAGAATAGGGATGTTATAAATTTTTCAATTTTCCTATTTTTTCAGGCATTACCTGGGATTCGAACCCGCACTATCGCCCTACATGCATTCCCCCATACACTTCGCATTCATACTCATTCTTCCAAGTTGCTTCACGTTATGATCTTGCGTTTGAAAGCCCTATTTGAATAGTGGGGCCAGCTGTATGTGGCCAGCTGTGTTTGATGGTACGGTTTGGTACGGGACAGATACGGGATAGCGCCAGGCGTGACACAAACACACAAACAAACAAACACCAAATTAAAGCTGTGTGAACCCTGGCTAGCGCCAGACGTTACTGAAGTAACGTCTTCTGCATAGCTACGGGAATAAAGACCACTGGGATCTAGATTTTACGGAACAGTAGTGATAGCTGGTGCTGGTGCTGGTGCTGGTGGCCGCAGCAGCAGCAGTGGAGGAGGAGGAGGTGGTGGTAGTGGTGGTAGTGTAAGTTGTAAGCGTGTTCTTATTGACCTCGTAAAATAATGATGCACCGAAAGAAAAGCACTCAAGCATTGCACCCGGGAGGCAAAAATGAACTCAATCCCTAGCGTAGGCTCGATGAGGTCGTGTATTTGTGCAAATTTCGAAAAGGATCCATATAAAACTCCAACAAATCTCCCACCAACACAATGGCAGCGGAAACCAAAACAAGAGAAAGGAGTTCAAATATTACAAAGCAGCAGCAGAAATAGAATACGGTAACAACACAGTCAACAAAAATGAAAAAAAGCCATTCGATAGACAGGAGCCAGGAGAGCGGCATGCAACAGGCAGGTGTGGGCATGCAACAGGCAGGTGTGGGCATGCAACAGGCAGGTGTGGGCATGCAACAGGCAGGTGTGGGCATGCAACAGGCAGGTGTGGGCATGCAACAGGCAGGTGTGGGCATGCAACAGGCAGGTGTGGGCAAACAGGAGCCAGGAGAGCGGCATGCAACAGGCAGGTGTGGGCATGCAACAGGCAGGTGTGGGCATGCAACAGGCAGGTGTGGGCATGCAACAGGCAGGTGTGGGCATGCAACAGGCAGGTGTGGGCATGCAACAGGCAGGTGTGGGCATGCAACAGGCAGTTGTGGGCAGACAGGAGCCAGGAGAGCGGCATGCAACAGGCAGGTGTGGGCATGCAACAGGCTGCAGGTGTGGGCATGAAAGCGAGTGCAGGTGTGGGCATGAAAGCGAGTGCACATGTACACAATAATCACCAACAGCCGAGAACCACGGATTCGAAAACTACAACATTACGAAACTATCAGCAACACTTACAGACAACTTTGAAAAGATTCAGAGAAAAAATTACTTGATTGACGCATCGGCAGTACAAAAAATGAAAGAGTTGGGGGAGAAGCCATTGGTTAGCCAGTATCATTGTAATAAAAAAGTTACTTTCTTTTTAGACCAAGAGTGGTGTATGAATAATAAAGTAAGAACTATTTACGATGATTTTCCAGGCCTTTTCAGTAGTTGAAGAATGTTTATCTACTGACGATGTTGTTCAGAACAACGAAACATCTGGAAAAGTATCGTAAATATTTATATCTCTTTTCAGGCAGGATGCAGTGAATGGGATTTTCGGTCTTTGGCCACATGCTGGTGAGCTGATCTACTCACCTCCCACCGCTTTAGGAGCTGCATCTGCGCCTTGATCCTTGAAGGGTGGTGGCGTTCCTACGGATGCGGAAAACTCGGCCTCTATAATAGAGAAACCGAGTCTCACGCGAACAGTGAAAATTTTTTCAGGCAGTTGACTTCCCCGACTGATCCTTTTTTTAATAGTACGAATACGGCACATTCAAACATTTCACTGATCTGCAGCAGGCGGTATGTTGCCTGTGTCGGGGTGGCAGTTGTGTCACTGAGGCCGTACACGTAGCAGAACTCGGCTACCAGCCACCAGCACCACCGGCACCTAACAAGTGAAACCCCGGCAATACACTTGCTCCAGCTCTATGACGTTGACTGTGAGCTTGACGACCTCCACGGTGGCGCTGGTAGTTGTGGCCATTCTCCGTAATGCTATGGAAGGAGCCATACAGATACAACCAAACACTCCTCATCTTCGCAGAGGGGTACTCGTGCCAGCACCTATCCACACCCTGCAGAAGCTCCTTTCTGGTTTCCTTCGCCACGAGTGACACGTTTCTCTACAGGTTGTGAAATAACGCCAAGTCATTGACGTTGAGATCAGGATTTTGCGCGGACTTAACGACAACCTGAATGATTTCCCCTGCGCTGCAAACACAAGTGCATTGATTTTGGCTGCGTGCGGATGCGCACCGTCGACTCATGCTGGTACAGCAGTGGCTGAGCGCTGGCCGGCTTCTGGGCACTTCTTCGAGCCACGCGGTCTTTCAAACTGTCTCTTATTTTTGCACTTCGGTGTCATGCGCGCGCCTGGGGTTGTGTTCTGATGACATCCTGTCGAGAAACGGTTCTGCTTCGCCGATTTTTCGAAGGATTCCACGCTTTTCAGAGGTTCAAAAGCTTGTCAGAACAATGGATGACACCTCCGCTACCCTATGTAGGGGATAGATCACTGACATGTATGTCTAATGCCGACAGAAATATCATGACAAGAACACCAAAAAAAGCAACGAAGTTTTGCTTAACGGAGCAAGTATGAATCATTCCATTAAATGTGCAGGACAAAAACAGAAACACCGATTTGAGAAATCCCTACTGGCATGTGCAGGATATGCAAGATTGGCATGCAGGATATAGAAAAGTACTAGCATTAAAGGAATTGTCTCGGGAATATAATTTGAGAACGGGGCAGCTACGGAAAATCTTTTTGTTTGTTTGCTTAGTTGGCCCAGAATCTGCGAAAACCAGGCTTAGGGTGAAAATCATTTTTTTGAGAAAATTGATGTTTTGTAAAAAGGTTGTGTGCGTGGACGATCGAGTACAGTGAAGTGGAACCAAAGAGAATCTCGCTTGTTTGAAGAAGTAGCAGTCATGGCAGGGAGGGTTTCAGCAGTCAGGGAAGTCAAAGGGCTTCCGGTAGAATATTCTCTGCTACTCCTCTAGTCACAACGAAGAGTTTTTGAACTGATCGAACGGATTCCATCTCCTACACTCAGGGATGGCGAAATTTCTGCGCTAGCTGCTGCTTGCGGAAAATGGTGAAGAAATCGTCTCCAGTTAGAGTCGTGATGGCGATAGCGAGGAGAACCTGGACGACATCGATCCAGCCAATCGAAGTACGGAGATACTACTACCTCCGACAAGCGAAACTTGGCGCGTTTTTTTGTTGATTTTTTTGTGTTGGTACCACAACTTCACAAGGCTGTGAGCTGAGGTACTCATGGTACTCGTACGACCTACTTGTAGCTCCATGCAACCGGTTGCAGGAAGCCAAGCGACGAGCTGGCGAGTGGCACATGGCTCAGACGTAGTCAGAGGCAAGCCAGTCTCTCGTGCACCAGCCAAACAGTGCGCGCGTCCCTTCTGCGAAGGAGAATCGTCGTGCTTTCGCGTTGCAATGGAAAACCAAGGAGTTCTCTCTCTCTCCACTTGGTCACGCCGCCAGCACAGAGTCCATACGTCCATGCCAAACAAACCTAGCGTCTTTCAATAGCCACCAGAGCGATGCGTCTCTGGTGGCTAAGGAAAATCGCCAGGAATTGCTGCAGGCAATTTTGGACAGTTGGCGAGAATACCCGGCAAAACAGTTCAAGTCCAGGCGCTTGTGGAGGTGTTGCACAGTTCTTACCACGTCAACCTGGATAGAGGCGGCGGAAACGACTACCCTGGACACCGTGGCTCGAGCACAGCACACAGGAGCGACATCGAGATTTTCAGAGCGATTACAACAGAGGTACTTGCTGCAACTGAATCCGCTTCAGTCACACTTTCGTCTCAAAACAGGAACACTGAATTCCTCTCCAGATGAAACTGCGATCTCTGAATCAGAGGAGAGTGATTCAGCCGAACAGATGTCTCTAATGTCCTTGTTGAGCAATACAAAGTTGAATTTCGGTGAGTCAATCATTAGTTTTGATTGTAAAGTGAGAGTTATTTCTAGTAAGTTAAAGTGAAAAACGCGCCAAGTTTCGCTTGTCGGAGGTAGTAGCTGTTTCTGGGCCTCACGCAAAAGGAACATGCGCAGCAGAGCTCATACGTTTGCAGCAAGTTCAGGAGGAAAAAGGCTTGAAGCGCAGTGTGAAAACTGTTTTGAATTGAAGTCCTTGACGATGAAGTGCTACTGAAGGCCAGGCGAATGATCGAGCAGATCGAGAGGCCCCCACTCGAGACTTTCCTCGCTGGACAGCTAGCTGCAAGGGATTGTACAGCGTGCCGATATTTCACTTGCTGGTCAGCACCAAGCAGATACTGCAGCACGCCAGCACACTATGCGCTTACTATGAACAGTGGAACAGTTTGAAAGGCTGTGTTCTTGCTTGTGTCTGAACAGTTGTACTAGATTCACCCTTCAAAAGGTGCCATCTCAACTTGAGTCCGGGTTTCCTTGTGGTGTGTAGCGCCAGAGCATGCCAGCACATGTATTCAGCCCCAGAATGTGCTGAGTGAGGAGCAAACAAAATTCATGCAGAACTGTGCATGGCCACTACAGCCTGCAGCACCAAGGGCCACAACAAGCCTGCCCCACATGCCTACCTTGTCATGTCACCTAAACAAAAATCATCCATGTCTCTTCCAGGCTTCAGTCTGGTGCATCTCTCTTCATTTCTTTCCTGTGATAACAATTTTGTGTTTTTTTGGGATTTTTTAAGGGGGGACGGGAGGTTCAGAGGGTCAAAAAATGAATTAATTATTTCTGAGTTTTGAACTTTTTGCTATGGAATCTTGTCTTAGGATATTTGAAGCGCCAGAATTTCAAATTTGAGCGTAATCGGTTTAGTAGAAGTGGAGTTATGAGCTAAAGTATGTCGAGATAAATTTCAAATGTAAATACTCAAATGTTTACAATTGCCTAATTTTGTGACTTTGGTTTAGTCCAAAATCAAGCGTTTTTGATTCAACTTCGCCAGGTAAGCGACCCTGGCTTCTGTTTTTGTAGTCATGGAGAGCTGCCACGTGCTTCCTTGATCGCGTATGACGTTCTGCAGCGCCACGACGCCCACGCGAAGGAAAAAATCTTTGTTTTTTTGTTTGTGATCGTGAAAGTGAACAATTAAATTATTTTACATGGGGAACCGAAAGAGAAGCACCAGCAGCTCTGGAAGTGGCCATAGGAGGAAGAAAGGGAGATACTACGCCCCAAAGCAGTCAAGCTCTGTACCAGTTGTGGAAGAAGGCACCGTTGAAGCGGCGCAGAGCGCTTCCTCTCGGAAGATTTCGTCGAGGCCAAAATGGCTTAGTGATAATTATGGTCATGGAATTTGAATCTGAGCTTGTGTGCTCGAGTGACAGTGATTCAGACGAGTCGTCCAGTGATAGCTGCCAGGAGTATGATGATGATGCATTCTATCCTGATGTTGAGGAGTCTGTCTCTGGCTACAAGATCGTGGATTTACAGTGTCTCCAGGAACTGATGGATCAATTTACTGTCTGTAGGAAGTGCACGAAGGGAGACATGATCGTCAGTAACTGTCATGACACTGGACTTGGATCGACCCTGCGACTTCAATGCGCTTTGTGTGGACACAGTGGAAGTACGTCTCTGAGCAAGAAAATTTGCAGGAGCTATGATCTGAATTGACGATCTGTACTGGCGATGCGATGCATTGGACGTGGCCATGGTGGACTCCGAAAGTTTTGCGGCGTAATGAATTTTCCTGCTCCTGTAACGGAGAAAGCGTACCGCAGCCACCAGGAAGTTGTCCTTGCTGCAGCCGTAAAGCTAGCTGAAACTGACATGGTTCAATCCGCAGCTGAGTTGCGTGCCATGACAGATTCCACCCACGTCGCAGTGACGTTCGACGGCACTTGGATGCGCAGGGGATATTCGTCGCTGTATGGTGTGTTCGCGTGCATCTCCTTCCAGAGCGGCCGTGTACTGGACATCACAGTGAAGGGTCGATACTGTCACGAATGTAAGATCTGGACTGAGAAGAAGCGAAGTGGTGCAATCACGGAGGAAGCCTTTTCAACCTGGCTGGATAATCACAAGTGCAGCATAAACACAGCGGCATCTGCACCCGGTATGGAGAGTGAAGCTGCGTGCGATATTTGGCAGCGGTCTGTGGGCACACGCGGAGGCCTCATAAGAACCCTCTCCCAAAGGCTGTGTTCGAAGTCGTGAAGCCCATCTACATGCAGCTGTCCGAACGAAGTCTGCTGGAGCGCTGCCAGATGGGTGCAACGCAGAATGCGAACGAGTCGTTCAACAACGTCATTTGGAGAATGCGTCCGAAGGAAGGCTTCTGCTCCGTCGACACCGTTCAGCTGGCAAGTAGTTTGGCAGTGCTCAACTTCAACAACGGCGCTATCACCTTGCTCAGTGTGCTGAAAGAGTGTGGATGCATTGATGGCAATCACACGAAGGCAGCGCTTGAGCTAGAAGACCAATGGCGTGTGAAGAAGTCCCTCCGCAAGTCATCAGCACTGGAAAAGGAGAGCAGGAAAAGGAGAAGGAGGCAGAGGAAAGGCTGGGAGGAGACCACTATTGAGAAAGAGGGCACTACATATGACAAAGGTGGTTTCTGAATGGCAACTTCAGGTCAGATATGTGAAAATATTTCAGTAGCACTCCACTATCAGTCCTTTTTATGTAATTTTTAGGTGCATTTTTCACTGATTTTAGGGGTATTATGGGCACTCCGCGCAGTTTTTTAGAAATGCTGTACATATCTTGTATGTAAAAGTATATATTTTCTGGTTCTGTACGGTCCATTCTAGATCCGTTGCCTTCTTAGGACACAAGATCTTCTGTTAGAAACAAAATAATGGACCTTGAACTTCAGTCAAGTTATCTTGCGCACGTGCATTGTTATTTCAAGGCTGCAGTGGCACACCATGGGAACTGTAATCGCATTGTGCTTAGGCAACAGCCCTAGCCCCTTGGTACCTGATCATTTTGCAGTGTTATGTGTTTATCTTCAAGTGACCGTGTTTGAGAAAAACTGCGCAGAAATCATGCCCGGCTATCGCATTTTTTCCAAAATTGCTTTCCTGCATTTCTCCATGATACCAGTATACTTTCCACAGTTCTTGGTTGCAATGTCGTCAGTGGATGTCAAGGAACATATACTGAAAATTTGAAGGAATTCTGATGTTTGAGTGCTGAGATTCAAGCGAATTTATAACGGGCACTGCAATATGGCCAGCGAACCTCCCGTCCCCCCTTAACACAATACCCTGGTGTGTTTGAGATACTTTTAATACCACTATGAGTTGACCCACACCTGTAATATTTTGTTTCCTGACCTCTAATGCCCAATAGAAGCTGAAAATGGGAAAAGCCATTTTGTGAAATTTCACCCTAAGCCTGGTTTTCGCAGATTCTGGGCCAGTTGTAGTTTTACTTCACTATAGGCCAAAGCAATATCTGTCTTCTCAATGGGCCTATTGCCACAATTCTTGCAAAATTTAACGAGGAAGATACTAGGAAAACCCAACGCACCATCCTCAAATCAAGTGGTCTCTTCCCTGCAAACTCCTAATGTCTCAGCCAAATTTGCGGCCGGGCGCCATCAACAGGAGGAAGCTATTCAAATAAAAAAGGGGGAGAGGGAAATATATTCATGAAGAAGGCACAAGAGAGAAGAGGTTCATCATTCAGCCAGATTGGAGATTCCCCCGTGGCATGCCATACACGCAACGGGCACCATAAGGTTTACTGTATATATGTATAGCTTTATAGTACAGAAAAATGGCCAAAAAAGGTCTTTTTTCTTTACTATGAATTTATCCTTGGCTCTCCATCCGAGTCCATATACGTATAGTGGTAGTTTTAAAGAGGCAAGGGGACAATAGTAAACGGTCGCTACAGGGGAGTTCATAACACCATGGTCGGGTGGTATGGACTCTCCAAAGACTTTGGCCTAATTCGAGGGAGTCTCCATTTCGATGTTTGTATTGTTTTTTTTTCCCTCTGATATTCTGTATTTCTAGCTCACACGTGCAATGTTCCAACATTGGCTCATGGTAGGCAGAGCAATACTGAGTCAGTAATCCAGCCTTGGATGACTGTGGCATACAGATGTAATGTTGGATATTGGATGAACGGACCTGCTACAGTGACCTGTACTGCCAATGGTTTAAGTGGACACACTTCATGTTTTGGTTAGTGGAATGTACTCACTCGTATCAGGTCACGCTTCTGTTGGGTTTTCTAGTTTCAAACGAGCAACACATTCATAATATGCAAAGTTGAACACAGTCCACACTTGCATCACGACATGACTTGTTATGGTTTTCCCATCAAGAAAATCAGTCTGAACGGCATTTTAACGGTACAAGAATGACAGCGTCAAAATTCCAATACGGTCTCTTAATTGTTTTCTTCTATTAAATTCACTCTAAGATTGTACGCTGAAGATACAAAGGACGTCATTACTACACCTCACACCCAGCGGCCAACTGCGAGCAAGGTGGAGATGGAGTACGTCAGACATACTGATATCCAATGACCTAGGATCTCGGCACAATTGCGGTGCATAGAATTACAAAAGGGAGATGTTTCTGATTTCGTTTCGGTGTGAAACTGCAGTTAACATCCCAGTGCATGCATAGACATTGAAGAAAAGGTTTGGGGTAGACTGTAACTCGCGCTGGGGAAGGGGTTAGGCTTACACTCACACCAACACATGGTTGGGGGGGGGCAATGGGGAAAAGGGGGCAACAGCCCCTCCCCTCCCCCCCCCCCCCCACCACCACAACTGCTCTAGAGCAGTGGTGGTTGGGGAGGGGGTGGGGGGAGGGGCTGGTGCCCTCTTTTCCCCTCCCCTTAACCACCACTACCCCCAACATAATGATTTGGTAAACTCGGTGAATAGTAATGTTTGCAAGCTCAAAATAGTTTACATGTAGATGTAGCAGTGCATGCTGTCAGGTCATAGAGCTTATCCTGGTATGGAATGCAGTGTTTTCAGTAACATGTACAGTCAAGCACATGTGCTTGACTGTACATGTGCTTGACTGTCCATGGCTTGACTGTACATGTGCTTGACATGCTCAGACATGGCCGCATACATGTAGCATGGCTGGTCCATGTCATTCTTTGTCATTATGTGCGTGTTGGGGGTGGGGGTTCCGTGCCGGCTACGCACCTGGAAAGGTTATTTTTCTTGGACACTTTCCTTCAAAATCGAAAGGCAGGAGCACATTTACATCTTGTTTTTTTTGTTTTTTTTACTTCAACAAGTGAACAGGCATTTCTGCCTTCTCACCAGGTCCGGAGACCTAGTTCCGACAAAATGACGAAGAGTAAATGAAAAGAAGAACATGCTACGAGTTATGACTAACTGTCCACCAACGTAACCAGATCTTATGCAGTCAGTGAGTGCGACAAAAATGGCACAAAACTGACAAGGAGTACTCAGACATTCGGCGACACCTAACTCCAACACTTCTCCAAGGCGCAAACCAACAACCTTCCAACTAAGAAGGCTCAGGATCAGAAAGGTTCCAGAGGGGAACTTCTTCTTTTCACAATAATTTAAAGGGGCACTCCAGCTTCATTTTCGACGCCGAGTTTTCGATGCCAAGACGAAGGTAGGTGAAAGAGAAGACCCCTCGAACAAGAACGAGTCTCCAGAAGCGATGGAGTCCAGGAGGAAGACGACTTTTGAATTTCGCCGAGCGAGCGCTGATGACGTAATGAGGGATTAGCTTGCCAGTGGAAATGCATCTGCGCACATACATTTCATATACTTTTTGGCCAATTTTCAATCGAAGAGGAGGTTGTTTTCTATGTTCTCTCAACGTCGTGAGCGATCCCGTCTTCTACACCCTTCCAGGTACCCTGAAGGTCCTCCAGAGGAGAATTTATATCCAGCAAAGCGTTTGTTGATCCGCTAAATTCGTCTCGAGACATATTCAACCAGTGCAATGCTGATAAATGTAGAATATTGAATCTGTGATAATTCTCGACGATGGAGAGAGAGGTTGATAGCCGCTGTCGCAGGGAAAGTGAAGCTGCTGGAAGTAACGACGGGGAGGTTGTTAGCATCACATGAGCATCCAGACTTCAAAGCAGCTTGACGGAATCGGGGAGTACTGACTATTTGTCTCGCCCTCAGTTAAGTGAATTTTATGACCAGAAGTTATTCGATCAGGATCCCTTCTACAAGATAATTATTATTACGCACACACTCATGGCCAAGGCCAATGAAGGAGGAGGTGAGGGCGATTATAGCCATGGCAAAAAAAAAGAAAAAAAGAAAATGTCCCCCAAAAAATAGTCATGAGTCATCAGTTGTTTCTCTCTTCTGTTTCTGTGTGTTATTTTTGTTGTCAGGATATTATAGGAGTGAAACTCGCCGTGCGAACGGTGACCTTCGTTGCCCAGTGGGCATGTACCTATCAGTTCCCCCTATGTCCTACCTTCCAGAAGGACCAGGTAGCCAGAAAACTCTTTCCGAAGCAAAGGGCATTTGCCAAGCGCTACACATGACTTTACCACCAAGGAGTGCTGCTCACTGCTTGTGGGACTTTGCCTTCCACAGCACTGTTGGAAATATTGATATTGGCTATGAAGGTGTGTGGACAGACCACTGGAAAAGCATGTCTCATGATGCTAATTACAAAGTAAAGTTAAGGGGTGGTGGTGATGTGGATCGTGAACGTGGAAGTGTAATCTGCTATGGTGAGTAATGGCTGTTGTTGTTGATTGGTTGGTTTGAATTCTTTATTCTCAAGACGGCACCATCGCCAACAAGAGATAAGTTTACGAGAAGGTGAGATGCTGTGGGTGGGACTGTGGGTTATGCAGTTGGAAAGTGATTTACATCACCTTGAGTTTTACAAGTATGGGAGAGGGTGAGCGCTGCAGGAGCAGATTGAGTTAATCAGCGGTGAGCAGATTTCTTGTTTGAAAGCAGGTCGGGAGGAGACGTCACGAATGCTAGCAGGGAGGGCATTGTAGTATTCTAGGGACTTGTACAGTGGAGAGTCTTTACATCGATCGGTTCTGGAGGGTGCGAGGTGCCAAGTGCATGCGTGTCGAAGGCTATACTGGGCCGTAACTTGAGCGGGGTTGCTGAGCACGCGTATGTGTTGTGGGGCATATTGGTGTTTTATGGAGTGAGCAAGAAGGGTGAGCTTCACTTTGCGGCGAGAGAACATTGTCGGCCCTTTGAGCCGATGGAGTGGTGTTGAATGATTCAGAGGAGTGTAGAGGCTGGATACGCTCAAGACGGTGAAGGGCTGTGATTGAGAGCTGGGTGACAGCAATGCATGCATAATTCAAATTATAATAGGGGTTGGTTGGTTGGTTGGTTGGTTAGTTGGTTGGGGGGGGGGGGGGGGGTGTTTGTTTGTTTAGTTGGTTGGGTGGCACTGGGTGGGTGGGTGGTTGGTTAGTATGGGGGCCAGGTGCCCAAAATGTTTACTTTCGTTGTAGTTGAGAACGCACAATGTTTTAGGAGTTTCAACGTGTAGACGGGACCACAAGTATAAATAATCTGAACAACATTGTCATTAGTTGAGAAGAAGTAGCGACGACCCGGCCATTATGGAATTCAATACAGTCGTCCCTCTCTAATCTGGCACTTGTTTATCCAGCACCCTTGCAAACCAGTACACTTTCTGGCAAACGGATTTTTTTAGTTCATTTTCCACGCTTCAATCCGACGCTTGAATTCCGCCTCCAGCAGCGATTTTCTGCAACAAATCACTCAAACTGTACATAATTCGATTTTCTAATCCAGCAGTTGTACATCGCATACCGTCAGGGAGCATTGTAACATACACAACACATGCAACATACACTTGGGAATATCCTATGCCAGTGCATAGGATATTCCCAAGTGTATGTTATAGACATGCATTCCACAAAGTACTTGGTTTGACACAGAAAATCCCTACGTTCGACATACGACACAAACATGTATGTTAACAGGTGGATCGAGTTGGAGGGCAGGATTTAATAATCCAGCACCCTTGTTTATCCAGCAGAAAATGCCGTTGCAAAAAGTGCGGGATTAGAGAGGTATGCCTTACACCGCACCATCACATCGCGCTCTTGGCCGATCCAAACTCTGCACTCACATCACCATCACCACAGCGAGGACAATTCCAGTATAGAGATTGATATTGACAATGACCGTCCAGACAGCTGTTTCGCTCCTCCCGAGCTCATCAGTGGAGGCATATAATGTTGAATGAAAGAATAATAAGAATATTTTAATATTTACCTACTGACGATGTTGTGCAGAACAACGAAACGTCTGGAAATGTATCGTAAATAGTTCTATCTTTGGACTCGGACGGAGAGCCAATAATCAATTTATACAAAAGAGAAAGACCAAGGAGCTACTTGGTCCGCGTCAGCAATATTGTCGCTTATCTTTCAGCTTTGTTTTTATGTCGCCAATGCTCACTTGGCAGCCCATTTCATCCCAATTTTCGTTAGTAAGTTAGTTTACTAGTACCTGAAAGGTCTAGCTAGATTTCGAGTGGATTTAGGGAGGGACAGGTGGGGGATTCTGATTGATACAGTGCCGCATCAACATAGATTATCTTGTCACACTGTGCAGGCAAGAGCAGCACGCAGCACAAGAAAATAATCGGCTACTCGGGATCAGTTCCATTTTGCAAAACAGCCGAGATCGCTCGCCTCAGGGATCGCTCGCCAAGCTAAGATCGCAGTTCCCTCACATCCAGCTCAACGCTCGGAGTATCCAGCGCATCGTCGATATTTGCAAGTACTTAGCCGTCGTCGTCGTTCAAAATAAATCTTGCAAAGAACGGCGACTGATTTGAACCACACAGGCAGTCGAGCTGCCCGCGCGAAGTCTTATAGAGAAGGTGACTGTCACGGTCAACTTCCCTTTAGAACGTAGCAAGGCAGCGGAGAGGAAGAGAGATGAGCTTGCGAAAGCGAGAGCGTCAATCCCGAGCAAACATATTTGTCACCAGCGCCATGAGCAGCGATGACGAGAACCAAAAAAGTATGAAGCCTTCCTTGGACAATAAATTCCTCATTGCCAGTTGTCATCCTGTACCTTACCTTCCATCATACCAAGTTTCATCATCTCAAGTACACGCGGTGATGTTCAAAGTCTAAGTTCAAATTGTCGAAAGATAAGCGACAATATTGCTGACGCGCACCAAGTACAAGTTACGCTATACTGTCCACTAACACCGCCGGTCAGTGTCGTGCAATGTTATCGCATGAGCTGATTGTTTAGTAACTGGTGGTGTTAGTGGACATTATAGTGTAACTTGTAGTTCCTTGGTCCTTTTTACTTTTTATAAATAATCCTTGGCTTTCCATCCGAGGTTTTTAAAACTTATTTTTAGTGTTACTTCACTATAGAGTCTAGACCGAAGCAATATCTGTCTTTTCAATGGACGTATGGCCACAGTTATTGATAAATTTAATGAGGAAGATACTTGAAAAACCCAACACACACCATCCTCAAATCAAGTGGTTTCTTCCCTGCAAACTACTAATGTCTCAGTCAAATTTCGGCCGGGCGCCATCAACAGGAGGAAGCTACTCACAGTAAAACCTGTAACTAAAGACCACTGTGACTAGCGACCAGCCTGGTACTACCGACCACTTGGCCAGGCACGGAAGGTCTCACATTCAAAATGCACTGTGACTAGCGACTACCTGCTGAACGCGACCAGCGACCGCCTTTTCCTGTCCCAAAGACAATTTTTGACCCGTAACTAGCGACCGCGATGTAGGAAATCAAATGTTGCTCGAAGCTCCGTCTTGAAATTTTGCTTATTTTCCAGGGTCCTGAAAGGAATCTCTCGATACTACAGCTGAACAAATGAACGCAGGGAATTTTGGCTGTGGAGTCGGTGTGGACTGCACTACACCTGTCAAAATTTCAAGCGCTGTCAAGAATAAACATGATAGGAAACGTCTTGGAGAGCGCATCGAAACCGCTCTCTGATCGATGTTACTACTCGGAGGAGAAACGAAGACTAGGCGGCTCTGTCACCCCAGTCATACAGACGAATCGACGATGGTATCAAGGAATCCAGAAACAAAGCAGCACCACAAGGTCCTGATTCTGAAGGATCGCGTTCAAGCACTCGAGAAGTCACAACAAGGACAGTCGGTACGATTGATCGCATGAACAAATTTGAAGCCCAGCGCAAAACGAAACTTCCCCAGGGAACTTTTGACTCCTGGCTTCAGAAGTAGAAGCTGAATTTGAAGTCTGCAAAAAAATAATATTCTCTCTCTCTCTGTCTCTCTCCATCTCTCCGTCTTTCTCTCCAAGTGTTGTTTGACCTTAAATAAGAATGATATTGCGCAAGTACTGGGGAATTGTATTAGCTGCATTTTGACATACATAGCATATAATGGGATCCATATATTATGGTCACGCGGTGCAAACCTCTAACTAAAGACCACCTGCTACTAATGACCGCTTTTGCTGGCACCAATGGGTGGTCGGTAGTCACAGGTTTTACTGTATATAAAGAAAGAGGAAAAAGAATTTCACGGTTGGCGTGAGACTCGGCCAAAGGCCCAGTTTTCTGCACCCACAGGAACGCCACCACCCTCTTGGATCAAGGCGCAGATACAGCTCCTAAAGCGATGGGAGGTGAGTAGATCAGACCCACCACAAAGTGGTCAAAGACCGAAAATCCCATTCACTGCATCCATGTTTCCCTCGTGCCAGGCCACGAGTTCCCAATTAACTGTGCGTCGCAGCACGGCTTCCGCTTCCAAGCAGGACTTGAACCTGGTACCCTCTGTTTCTCAATCATGGTCTTAGACCATCCCACTATGCCTGCCTGCTAAAAAAGAGGAAGAGGGAAATATATTCATGAAGAAGGCACAAGGGAGAAGAGGGTCATCATGGTGACATTATTAAGCCAGAATGGGGATTCCCCTGTCACGTGCCATGCACGCAACGGGCACCATAAGGTTTGCCTGAGGAGAACGAATCTTTAAAAATTTGAACAATTGTTCTGCGTGTGAGTGCTGATCTGGCAGAAATCAGCGTCGGGTGTGGAATGTCGTTCTGAGGGTGCAATGGAGTGGTTTTTGATTAGGATTACAGTGGCTCTGTTGTGCCTGCCTTGTTGGAGTTGATAGAGGAGTGTTGTACATGTGGCTGCGCTTGTGTCTCTTCGTTGTACATGCGGTTGCACGTGTAGCTCTTTGTCGTACATGTGGCTGCTTTTGGGTCTCTTTGTTGTACATGCTGCTGAGTCGTGGTACATGCTGCTGCGCTGTTTTTGACTCCTGCGTACATGCGGCTGCACCGTCTTCTGTCCCCGGTGGTACACACTTGCTCGTCTTGTCCCCGTTGTACGCCTTCAATCTAATATATTCTGTTGTCTAGTCTTGTCTCAGTGTCAGTCGTCAGTCGTTCGTTGTCTGATAACCATGAATTCTCCATCGCCTACTGAAGCGAAGTAGAAGAAAAAGCTCTCTAACAATTTGCACTGGTCCTTTGCTGTGTGGCGTGGCGAGGAGCCTAGAGGCAGTTCGTTCACGGTTCTCAAACCCGTGACGACAGGAGATTTCAAGCTGTCCAGAGAGACTAAGAATTTGAATATCCATAACTGTGATATTATTTGTGACTCAAGTCGAGTTTTGTAGCGCTCTGCGGTATGGGTTAAGCAATCATACGCATTCATGTATTGTGGTAGTTTTAAAGAGGCTAGGGGAATATACTGAACGATGATCGCTGGCGCGTAGTCAGGTGGTATGGGCTCTATAAAGATTTAAGCCTAAATCGAGGGGAGTTTCCATTTCGAGGGAATTTCCATTTCGATGTTTGTAATGTTTTTTTCCTCTGGTATTCTGTATTTATAGTTCACGCGTGCAATGTGCCAAAATTGACTGATGGTAGGCAGAACAATACTGAGTCAGTAATCCGGCATGGGACGACTGTAGCATACACATGTGATGTTGGATATAAGATGTATGGACCTGCTACAGTGACCTGCACTGCCAATGGTTTAAGTGACAACACTTCCTGTAAAGGTAAGTGGAATGTACTCACTCTTATCAGGTCATGTTTCTGTTGGGTTTTCTAGTTTCAAGCGTACTTCTTGAGTAACAAATTCATAATATGCAAAGTTGAACACAGTCCACAGAACGCTGTGTGTATGTATGTGTATGTGTGTGTGTGTGTGTGTGTGTGCACGTGTGTGAATGTGAGTCTCATGGGTGATAATCGCATCCATTCGAGGAGATTTTCTTGCCCAACATCCGAAGGAGATATTGATCTCCGGACGACGCTCTCAAATCTCAATGGACTCCCTGATAGTGGGAAGCACGTCACAGGATGCTCGACAAACCAGAGGGTAAACACATGGCTACTGATCACCTGCAGCACGGAACCATCAAGAGCACAGATGTAATTTTCATTGGGGCCCAAGTACTGGCTGTGGAAACACGGATGGCCAGAAAGAAAAATCAGGGAGTCCATCGAGATTCGAGAGCGTCGTCCGGAGATCAATATCTCCTTCGGATGGCCATTGAAGGCACTACCACCCTCACAGTGAAACCGTGGAATCTTGCTGTGTCTGTACAGGGTTGTACACACAATGATTGTGGCATTCACCTTCGTACACACATTTCCTGTGCTTTATCTGCTGAGCTCTTGCATATCCACTCTTTCAGCGCACTTCTCCTTGTCGGTTGTAAATGCAAATTCATATACTCGATTGCACTCAATCTGTGGACAGCAATTGCATACGGCTGTTGTGTGTTTCATTTGTTTTGTTCATGGACATACATACTTTGAAGTACGCTATCGATTGCTTTCGTTATAGGAGGCCAGGCTCGCCCCTTGTGAATTGTTCTGACGATGGGTGACTGGCCCGAAACGTCCATAATTTTTTCGGCATCATTAATGTAAAATAGTGAAGGAAAGCATGAGAACGAGTTATGCAGCAACTATCCACGACTGTAACAAGATGATAAACAGTAAGAAAGTGAGATAACACGGCACACAACTGACAGGCTACTCAGACATTCAGCGTCCGGAGACCTAGCTCTAACACATCTTTAGTGCACAAACCATCAGCCTTCCAACTTGGAAGGTTCAGTATCCAAGTTTAGACATCAGTAATAAAAGAATGGTGCTTGGTGTTGTGTACCCTCACCAGATGTCAAATGCCACGGTGTACTTCTCGACGCGACAAGACCCAGTCAGCACTATCTGTCGCAGACATCGACTTCTTTGGGTGTGCCATGTCGTCCGTGAAGGGCCTGACTCAGGGTCTTAGCAAGCACTAGAGGTGGCAATTAGTACCCCTGACATCAAGCGCCCACGTGGCCAACCCCATCTCAGATGGATTGACAATATTAAACATGATATAAAGCACACCAATTTTTATATTTCTGACTGTTTTGAGCTGCCTCTAGACAAGAAAAAATGTGCTGCGCTTGCATAGTTGTTCTTAATGCGATACGTTCAAGCAAACAATAATGAGATGCCTTTTGTTGACTCTTCTGCCTGGATTTCATTGACAGATGCGTCAAGCCCATGGATCCTTCCATGAGTGACATGCGAACCGTAACAATTATTATTAATAATAAAAGAATTTTCATCCAGCGCATGCGCCAAGAGTGAATAGCAACTTAATAGAGCGGTTGTCAGTTGACAATCCCCCTTTTATTTACAATGCAGTTGCGTGATGTCCATCACTTTCTGAACAAAAAAAGAAGAAGAAGAAAATTGAAAGGAGTGACAGGTACATAATACGAAATGTTAGGAGGAGAGACCATAAATTAGAAGGAGAGGAGAGATGAGACAGACAGTGTTAGGAGGAGAAGGAGAGAAAAGAAGAACAAACGTTATTGGGACGAGTACGTGGAGCAGAATTTGAAAGTCATGGGCTGAGGCAGATATGATGCTGATATTCAGAGATGGGCATGTTCCCACAACCAGTCGTTGGTCTTCAAATAGTGGGTGACTGCAACCTTGAAATGTTGCAAGTTCTTGGGGCATAAATGGACCAGAGAAGACTCCGGCGGGCAGCTGGTTCCAGACGGGGGCAACTGCGTGAGGTTTGCCTCAACAAAGGTTGTGTCTGGACCGGGCTGGAAGTTCATTTGCCAGTTGGTGCACGGGGGCATTACATCTCTGAGACGTGCTATGGGAGGACTGGACTGTTCGGTGTTGGGGCTGCTGGGGTGTAAAAATTCTCTGTAGAAGGGGATGTGCGTCTGGACAATGCATCTTGTACAGGAAGCAAAGTGCTGCAACTATCCAACGAAGAGCAAGACTCGGCAGCCGTTGAAATCGGTAGCATGCCCCATTGGGTGCGGTGGAAGCTGACAGGTAGTGTATGGGATTTGGCTGGTTCAAATTGTTTTTATCTTCCATTCTTGACCCCAGAGGAAGATGTTGTTGACTGCTAGCTGGAGGGCTTGGGTAGTATCTTGTTGGGTGGTGGAGTGATGTTGGCATACAGCGTGGTGTCGTCTGCGAGCGAGGCTAGGTCAGCACCGGCTGGTGTGTGGTCCTCGCAGTCATTCACGTATATGAGGAAGAGAGTCAGACCTATAATACTGCCCTGGGGGACTTCAGCCTGTACTGGGAGCCTTGAGGATGTCTGGCCACAAATATCCACTCGAAGGTAGCGTTCACTGAGGTATCTGCTGGGCCACTGGTGTAGTTGCCCACGTAGGCCATTTACGTTGGACTTGATACCTCCCGTCCGCCCCGATTTCTCAGGAAAACCTGACGATAAACAATCAATATATTTTACATGGCCTTATCTTCGGACTTGATTTTTCGGTGGTCTGCATGTGTCATACGGCATGGAACCACTGAATCACCATCCGAACATAACCATTGACCATTGCATCGGACGACATGGCAGCACAAACCATCACAGAAGTTGCTATCGGTTCGTTTGAGTCTTTTTGACGGAGCTACCACCGACGAACACTTCTGTCAGCGCAAGAAAACGCTGCAACCTCCGCTCGAGTCCGAAAAATAGGTCGGAATTTCAGAGCGATGGAGAATGAAGTTTCTGTCTACTTCCAGCTGTCTGGTGTCAAGGATTGTTTGCCGTGGGGAGGTATAGAAAAGTTGAAAAAGCGCTTCGCGAGCTTGAATTTCAGTGCTGGCACAGTACAGCGCCTAGTGAAGAGTTACCCCCAGCAAATCGCTGACGAAGAAACTGGTGCTCATGTCGACATCTCCAGAAAGTGAGAACAATCCGGCTGACATAATCTGATGCTCACAGAGGACCGGGCAAAGGAGCTAATCAAAATCAACACCAAGTCCTGAGGGAAACTCTCGTGCAAAGGACTTTCAGGAAACTAACCGAAAAGCCTGGTGCAAGGCATTAGGACTTAGGTGCAGTAAGCACAGCCACAGGTGCTACATCAAGCGGAAGCTATCACTGAGCTGCATGTACAAGCACCAGAGTCTTGCGTGGGTGCTGATCAGCAAGTACGACAAGCGCAAGAGGCGATTTGAAAAAAAAGACACTAATGTGGCATTGCATTTTTGTCTCAAACTAAGCCGCATTATTGCGACGAACGGGATAACACTTTCAGCCAACACACGGGCAGTCTCAATCAGCTTCTGAGCGGCAAGGTGACTGGCACACACTGCCTTTGAGTGTGATTCGAGACGAGGCGAATTTGAGCAAGCTATGAAACGTGCAGCAGCTGTCCGGATCGAACGTTTTGAGCGCATGCTTCAAATACAATTATGTATCTCCTTGCTGAGACAAGTGCGAAGATAAGCGCCAATTGTAACTAAATTAGTGTACGTCCTCATGTTCTTTCCGCTTGTCTCAAATGTACTTTGACGTGCTATTTCGCCTGACGACATAGGCGATAAAATGATTAAACTGTTAAAACTCAAAAACAAAAAGCTGCAAGTTGTGGACAAACACGTTGAACTTTTTTAATCTTTTTCCGATTATTTTTAGCAATGAAAAATATCAATTGTGCACTCATAATCATGTATAAACAATTAAAATGAAACAATTCCAGAACGTTTTCGTGTGACCATCATCAGTGGAACATCGTCACATAGTAAGAATCACTAAAACAACCAGTTATATAGCTAGAGTAACATGAAAAGAAGCGTGAGAATGCAGCACAGCTAGCGGTTATGCATAACGCGTGTAGTGTGAACCTTTGCAGTGTGTCTGAGAATGGTAGCAGTAGATGAATGTGGCAGCTGTGAGTGCGTGTGAACAAAAACTGGTGAGTGCGTATTATTTAAAAAGTGTGAGTGCTACAACATTTTCTTTTTGCTTGCATAGAACAGGGTCACGTGTGCGAATATATACAGCTTCCAACACCTGCAACTGCTTAAAGAAACGCGCGCGACAAATAACACTAAACCAGGAATCGTCAAACAACTTACGACAATCCGGACTGGACACCAAATGCTTGTAGATGGCAGACTTGCTCTTGTCGATGTCGAACTCCTCCTCGTCCGTATCACTCTCATCCTCCACTTCCTGTTCCTGCTCACCCTTACTTTCCTCCTGACCATCCTGTTCATCCCCATCATCATCCTCCATCTCCATCTCCTCATGCCATCGCTTCTTTCTCCTTGACGTGTTCACTGCTGCGCCCGTACTTTCACCTGCCACTACTGGTTCCGCCTTCTCCATTTTTCTCAGTCGTGTCTCCGCTAGTCTCTGGCTTCTCCTCAGATTCGTTTTTCCTCCATTTTCATTTCGTTCTCCTGGTGATCTTTCCGTTACCGCCATCGGGTTTGTTAATGAACGATCGTCCGGTGGTCTCCCATGCCGTGTTGTTGTCGTCAAGAGTGACACCAGATTCGTGTGTTGCGCTACTGTTGAGTCCGGTGTTGTATCCGTTTCTGGTTGTGTTGTAATACTGACAGGCGTAGTAGTAGGCAACGGGTGTTTTCTCGGCCTCCCACGCTTTGGCTGCCACATTCATCTACTGCTACCATTCTCAGATACACTGCAAAGGTTCACACTACACGCGTTATGCATAACCGCTAGCTGTGCTGCATTCTCACGCTTCTTTTCATGTTACTCTAGCTATATAACTGGTTGTTTTAGTGATTCTTACTATGTGACGATGTTCCACTGATGATGGTCACACGAAAACGTTCTGGAATTGTTTCATTTTAATTGTTTATACATGATTATGAGTGCACAATTGATATTTTTCATTGCTATTTTACGACTGTTGTCTCCTCGTCGGTTATTTAAATACTTTAAACCGATTATTTTTAGTAAGGTTTTTAAAGACAACATGTACGCGGTTTACCCATACAATTTTGTACTGTGGCCAACGACGAGACGCACACCAGGAAGTTCTGCAAGCCCGGGTTTGTGTGACTCCCTGTCACAGATCTACTCACACCATCTGAACCATGCATGTATATATACATCAACTGTTCCAAAACAGAATGACTTCAGCTCGATTTTGGTCTCGCCTTTAATACTGTAATATGTTATGACGTACATTGGTTACATGAAACCAGGCAGAAGGAACAACAAGTTTTAATGTTATTCGTACTTCAAAATAGTTGTCACAGTGAAAAGTGTTATGTTTGAATCCATAGTCTGTCTGTCCAACCGCGCTGCCAACACGAAGAAAAAGAAGTAACGTCAGGCCTTCGAGAACCTCCGTGGGGTTTTTCACTCTACTGGTGAGTTCCACGGATGCGGTGCTGCATCGTGAATATGCCAGCTAGCAGAAGGGACTTGCTGGTCGCCTCGCCTTCAAGTGGGATAAGCCCTTTTCAATCATCACGGCTTGGGTGCGAATTCGTACCCAATTTGCAGTGTTCCATGCAGTCGACCTCCGGCTACGCGGGCAAGAAGGTTCTTGACACGCCTGTCGACGCAGGGTGGTGCTGGGGTAGGCATCGAACATTGAGAACTGAATTTCGTCTGTTTTACGTGAAATTCCTCGGAGTTTTCCAATGTATTGTACTGGAATAATATTCTATTTTACGTTTTCATGGTATCTCTATTTTTCCACATCTACATGAATTTATCTTGCCCATAAAAGAGGCCGTTACCCCGTCAAAAAAAGAAAAGAAAAAGTCTGTCTGTACATGATCCAAGGCTGTACGCCATACACTGCTCTGTGTGTACTACACATTATACATGCATGCAGTGTACACTGTTGTCAACTGCTTTGTCACGTGTGCATTATTCTGTAGTGTTTGGTGTAGAGCACGTAATCTATTCTGCTAGCAACCGTTGGCCTGTACGCCAGCTAGGACAGTTATTGGTTTCCTGATTTCGAATAGTTCCTCGCTTGTATTGTATTGT